GTCCCGGCATTCCTATAGTCCTACCACGAGATGTTCTTCGAACCCCGAAACATGTTCTGAGAACCAGAACCATGCTCGTAGAACACAAGCCCCATGTGATAGCACAAGACAGTCTCCGCCCGAAAGGTTCTAGGAGCACCCCGTGGAGACCACGAGGGGTGCTTAGAACATGGTCTGGCAGGGCTATATAGGCGAGCCAGGACGCTTCGCCACCGCCTGAAAACGAGGGGCTCCCCGCGGCCCGCCTGCACCTGCCAGTGGGCGCCCCCCGCGTCGGCCGCCTCCGCGGGGCCCGCCGCGGGGCTGCGGCCGATCGGGGGCCTCGGCGGCGCCCGCAGCCGCGCAAGCTCGCCCGCGAGGCCCGTGGCGCACTGCACGAGCTTGGCCAGCGGGCCCGCGTCGACGCAGGGCACCTGCAGCAGGGACCGCGCGAGCGACAGGCACACCTGGTTTGGAAGTCGGGCGTGTCCCCCCTGCAGGGGGATTTTCAACGAAGAACAAAAAAATACCCCCAAAACATACCCCAAAAAGGTCGAAGAATCATAAGGAAATGATCCCCAAGGCTATGTTTTGGACTTTGTGTGATTATGTCTGGGGTATGTCTTATTTTTCGTTGAAAATCCCTCTGTAGGGGGACAGGCCCGACTTAAACCTGGTTCCTCCGGTCGCTGCCAGCGCCCATCTGCACGGGATCGCGCGTGACGTACACCGCGGCGTACTCCTGACTGAAGTACGCCGCTCTCCTGCCATCTCGGATGCTGGGGAAGCGCTCCGCGGGCAGCGTCGTTGCTCGTCCGGCCACCCACTCGGCACGGAGGCGGTGCGCAGTCGAGTCGGGGGCAGGACGCTGCTTGGTGATCCCCCAGTCCGACTCGTACCTGCTCAGGTACATGTGCGAGGAGGCTCCGCTCTTCCTGGACTTCATGTACACGGTGGACCCGTTGAACAGGAACGGCTGCGGGGCATAGAAGCCGTTGCCCTGCTCCCATGGCCCCTCGCACCCGGAGACCCAGACACCGTTCATGGAGAGGCTCAGCCAGGGCTCGGATCCACAGGGGTGCAGTAGGGAGCAGAAGCTGGCCACGTTGACACGCTCCTGGCCGCCGAAGCACGCGGCCAACAGCTCCTCGTTGCCCAGCGGGACTGCAGCGTGAGCCTCGTCCATGCCGCCTAGCTTCGAACACCACAACGATGCGCTTTGGATCGACATCGCCGCCTGGAGCTGCCGCGCTTCCTGTTGAGCTGGAACGGCGGCCAGTCCTGGCAGTGACGGCGGCCCGCGGAGGCCTCCTGCCTGGACGGACAGCACCGCCTGGACGGACTCCAGCGCAAGCGCCCACCTCGGCGGTCCCTCCTCGATCGAGGAGAGCCTGCACGGCCGCAGCCAGTAGGGCACCCCCGGGGGCACGACCATCTCCTCAAATGAACAAAAAAGACATAAACATAATTTCTCGGAGGTCCGCGCGGATTTTTTTGATCGGCGCTGGGCGCGCCAGGGGCGGCGCCAAACGCGCCGCCAGGGGGGCCCGGCGCCGATCCCAGAAGTCCGCGCGGAGCTCCGAAAATTTATGTCTATGCCGTATTATTTTATTCGCTGCCTGCACCACGCCCACGTGACCTTTGGTGCGCGGCCTGCTGATCATTGCATGCGGTCCGACGGAGGCTGCCCACGTGCTTGGGTTTGGCCCCCCGCGCCCCCGAAAGCCGCGCACCAAGGATCGCTCCGGCAGATGGTCACTCTTGCGAGTAGCCGATCCTGCACCACGGCCACGTGGATGCTCTCCAGGGACACCTCCGCACTGCTGCCGCCGCCAGAGCTCTGCGCGGCCGCCTGGGCGCCGCGGACGCCGACCAGCGTGCTGAGGCGGTCCCCGGGCTTGGCGGCGCAGCGGTCCGCGAGCTCGGGGACGAAGACGAGGGCATGCTCGTCGCCCGCGACCTCCAGATGCAACCCCACGGCCTTAGTTAGTCGATGCTTCAAAACGCAGGGGGCGTGTTTTGTATTCCGTTTGAGCTGGTCCGTGTTCGGCAAGCTAAAACGGAGGGGAAACGAAAAACACAGAAAAACAGCAGCAGCAGCAGCAATAACAACAACAACAACAATAATAACAACACCACCACCAACAACAACAATCATTATAAGACTGTTCGCTCTTACTTGCCCGCGTGTCATTTAAAACGAGTTCCCCACACCCTCGATACCCGCCCTTCACACCCCCTTTGGGGGGATTTGTTCTCTTTGCGGGTGGCGGCGGGCTTAGACAGGCGGGCAAACCTGTACGGGCGGACAATCTTTCGTGGGCGTACATGTGCCCGCCATCGGAATTGGTGTGGGCCCTGCAAAAAGAGGAGGAGGAGAACGAGGGAGAGTGGGAGGAAGGGAGGGGGAGGGACGAAGCAAGAGGGAAAACGCCAGAAGAAAAGGAGCGAAGAGGGGGGCGGCTGATTAGAGGCAGAGAGAGAGAGAGAGACAAAAAAAAACATACAGATAAGAGAGGTAGAAGAAAGAGAGAGGGAGAGAGGGGAGAGAGAGAGAGAGAGAGAGAGAGAGACAAAAAAAAGAGGGAGGAAGGAGGCAGGAGAGGGGAGGGAGAAGGGAGGAGGGAGAGGAGGGAGAGGGGATAGGGCAGAGAGGCATAAGGATGAGGGAAGACATGAGGGAGAGAGAAGGGAGGAGAGAAGGGAGGAGGGGGAAGGGAGAGGGAGGAGGAACAGGAAGGTAAGAGCGTGAACGTTCGAGGAAGTCCTAGGCGAAAGCGCCGTTCCTGAAGGAAGTCTCGGGCGGGAGCCCACGATGGGCGGGCGATCCCCTGACGGGCGGGTCGGGCGGGTGGGACATTCAAGCGGGATGCCTATGCATGGCGAGAGCGCGATTACTAAGTAAACTGTAACGGCGTCCTTGGCGCAGCGTGTTTCCTGGGCGTCGAAAGCGCGATTTCTGCATAAATTGCATGGGCGTCACAGGCGAGAGCGCAATTCCTGAATAAAATGTAAAGGGCTCTCCGGCGGGAGCGGGGGTCTTGATTAAATTACGAGGAAGTCTTGACTCAATTGCGAGGAAGTCTCAAGCGGGAGCGCCGTTCCTGAGTAAATTGTGAGGACGTCTCAGATGGGAGCGGGGGTCCTGACTAAATTGCGAGGAAGTCACAGGGAGGAGCACCGATCCTGAGTAAGTGGTGCGGAAGTCTCACGAGCAGGGGTCTTGAGTAAATTTGGAGGCCATCTCAAGCGGGAGCCGCTGTTGTTGTAGTCCCCGGGGCCAAGGGCCCAGTTTGAGCATCAAGACTTTCCCTGCCAAAAAACAAGGTGCGAGCGTCGAGGCGCACACTTTGATTCCGAAAAAACAGTATGCACCGGTGTAGGGGGATCAACAATAATAATTCTTCAGAAGTGAGAGTTAAACAACAGCAACATCAACAACCACAACACCACCAACAACAACGACAACAACAATCAGTTTAAAACTGTTCGCTCATATCTGCTCGCGTGCCATTCAACACGTTAACCCCCGGTACCCGCCTTTGTCGTGTTCGATCGAACCTCCTGGGGGGCATATCTTCTTTACCTGCCACGCGCACGTAGCGCAGCACCTAACACAGACTAAAGCGGACGGATGGAAGGGGGAGGGAGAAGGATGGAACAAAAGATAAATTAGCAAGAGGGGGGGGGGCTGTGAGCAGAAAGCACGTGGCAGAAACCAGACGGGCCGATCGGGCGGACAGACCCTAGCGGGCGGGTCGGGCAGCCAGGCCCATCCGGCCAGGTCGAGAAGGCGGGTGGCCGAAGCGTGAGTCCTGCATGGACCACAAGAAAGTCTCAGGCGATAGCGCGACTCCACAGTAAATCGTGAGAGGAGCCACAGCGAGAGCGTGATTCCTGAGTGTCGAGGGCGCGGCGTCTGAATACATTGCGAAGTCCCACGCGAGAGCGCGATTCTTTTGAAATGTTGAGGAAGTCCCGCGCGATAATGCGATATTGGAATACACTGTGAGGAAATATCAGGCGGGAGCCGCTGTTCTTGTAGTTCGGGGCCCAGCAACTTAATTTGGTGGTACCAAGCCTTCCCTGATACAAAACAGGGTGCGAGTCCCGAGGGGGGCACTTCAATTGAAAAACTACAATGGTTACCAGAGGGGGGGTCAAAAACTATTATTCTTCAGAAGTGAAAGTTCAACAACAACCATATCAACAACAACACGAATCATTGCAAGACTGTTCGCACTTCCCTACTCGCGTGCCACTCAACACGTATCCCCCAAACCCTCGATGCCCGCCTTCTTCGTCGTCAATCGTACCCCCTTCAGGGTGTCTTTCTGACCTGCAACGTGAACATTTTTCTTACAGCCCCTCAGGCAGGGAAGAAGAGGACGGATGGAAGGAAGGGGCAAGGGGGAAGGAGGAAGATGGAGCACGGGAGAAAATATCAGGAGAGGGAGCCAGGAGCAGAAAACACGTGACAGGATCAAACGGGCAGATCGGGCGGGTTGACCCTAACGGGCGGGTCGGGAAGGCGGGCGATGGTCACGTCGAGCAGGCGAGTTGCTAGGGCGTGCGTCCTGCATAATTCGCGAGGAAGTCTCGAACGATAGCACGAATCCCCAATACATCTTTAAGACATCCAGCGTGACTCCTGAGTGTCGAGGGCACGGCGTCTGAATAAACTGTGAAGATGTCCGACGCGGAAACGTGGTTCTGTATGAGGAAGTCCATCGCGAGAGTGCGATTTTGAAATAATTCGTGGGGAAGTACACGCGGAAACCGCTGTTGTTGCAAAACGGGGGGCGTTGTTAGAGCAAGAAGATTTTCCCCTGTGAAAAAAAAAAGCAAGCACCGGGAGGGGCACTTCGATGGACAAAAACCTATGTTACGCGAATGCGTGAGTCCTGCATAATTCGCCAGGAAATCTAAGGCGAGAGGTCGATTCCTAAGTAAATTCTGAAGAAGACCTAAGCGAGAGCGCCATTCCTGAATGGCGTGGGCATGGCGCCTGAAAAAACTACGAGGAAATCACAAACGAAAACGCGATTCTTGGATAAATTGCAAGAAGTCCCTAGCGAGAGCGCGATTCTTCAGTATATTGCGAAGAAGAATCAGGCGGGAACCCTTGTTGTTGTAAACCGGGGGCCAGAGGCACTGTTTGCCGAAGAAGACTTTCCCTGATAGCAAACAAGGTGCGAGCCCCGGGGGGGGCACTTAAATTCAAAAAGCACCTACGTTACTGGATGGGGGGGACCAACAAGATTTACTCTTCAGTAATGAGATTTGAACAAAGATGACACCCTGACTGGGAGCCCATCCACCGCAGGTGCTGTTGGATCCGTGTCCACGTGTTCTCTAATAGGGTGAACACCCAGACTGGAGACCAATACCCCCCCTCCACCCCACAGCTCCCCGCGCAACCCTTCAGCATGGACCCCCACCCCAACCCAAAAAAGAATGTTGCCTTTTTGTATCTTCTATGGACTCCTGCGGGAAATCCATAGAACACTTCCAGACGCCTCCATAATCCGATGGCTCCAACGGACTCCTACGGACAAATGGTCCAGCTTTAATAGAATTCCATCCTAGCTGGATCCAGCTCTACTAAATGCATGTACTGTTGGATCCAGCTGTAATGCGAGTGATGGGATTAAATTGGAGCTGGACCCACTTCTGCCAGGATTCAATTAAACCTGGATCCGGCTCTACTATAATCCGGTTAGAGCTGGATCCAGCTCTACTCGGAAATACGGTTGGGTCCAGCTCGAAAGGGGGTCTCGTTAAGGCTGACTCCAACTCGATTCGGATCCCAACGAGGCTGGATCCAGCTGTAGCAAGATCCTGTTAGGGCGGGTTCCAGCTTTAATACGTGCATTTAAAGCTGGATCCAGTTTTAATGCGATTGATGGGATTCGAGTAAAGTTGCACCCAACTCTACCAGGATTCTATTAAAACTGGATCGGGTTCTAGAATGATTCGATGTGAGTTGGCTCTACTCGGAAATACGGTTGGGTCCTGCTCGAAGAAGATCTCTTTAGGGCTGCATCCACCTCGGATTGGATCCCAATAAGGTTGGATCCAGTTGTACTAAGATCCTGTGAGGGCTGGATCCAGCTCCGCCAGGATTCGATTAAGGCTGGGTCCAGCGCAACTAGAATCCTGCTAGGACTGGACCCAGCCTTCATCGGATTCGGACAGGGTTGGTTCCAACTCGAATGGGTTCCTGTCAAGACTGGGTCCACCTCTAATGCCGAGTGTAGTAGACCTGGATCCAACTCTACTGGGGTTGTAATAAAGCTTGATCCAGCTCTACTATGATTCTATTAGAGCTGGATCCAGCTTTGCCCGGATTCGATCGGAGCGGGACCCAGCTATACTAGGAACCAAATTGGGTTGGCCCCCGCTTTACTCGGAAACGATTAGAGCTGGATCCAGCTCGACCTGGATTAGAATGGAGCTGGTCCGAACTCTACTAGGGTTGCATTAGGGCTGGGTCCATCTTCGATGGGAACCGCCAAGGAATCCCCCACAATCCCTTGCGAATCCAGACGAAAGGTCACCTAGGATTCAACACACCCCACAGGAGCCCCGACGGATCCTTGCAGGACCCCTACAGAACCCGATCGGAACCCGACTGATGCCCCAAGGCACCCCATATATGGCACCTTCATAGAAACCCTAAGGGGCCCTTGTCGGGCCCTACAGGAAACCCCTGGGGCCCCGAGTTGCGTCGCGCTGCGCTGCGCGGGAGAGGGGGGGGGGGGGGGGGAGCGCGGGCCCCCAGTCTGGCCGTCGCCCAACAACAACAGAAACAATAACAATAATACTAATAGTTCTATCATCAAGCGCCATGCTTCCACACGTCACGCGCATCCTTCTCGACGCCACGCCCCATCACGGGGCGTCGCTCTGGCGCGCGCGGCCCGATATTCCCCCGCCCAGATCCCCCGCCCAAGACAGCATTGCCACCACCTCTTCCGAGGAAATTCGACATCCACAGCTCGAGCGGCACGTCGCCATCGCAATCGCCCCGCGCGCGCCCCGCACCTCGGAGGAAGAGGAAGACGACGAGGAGGGGGGGAAGATGGGGGGGGGAAAAGAGGAAGAGGAGGAGGAGGAAGAGGATGGAGGAGGAGGAGGAGGAGGAGGGGGAGGAAGGAGGAGCATATGTAGTAGCAGTACATCCGCGGACGAGGTGGCTCTTACTCCTCGTTCGAACTGTTACTATACCACCATCCTGCGCCCTCGGCGCGTGACCCTGAACGTTCACGCCCCCAGGCGCTGCCGCCCCCATGCTCGCATCCTCCACCTGCCCCTCCACAACCTCTCAAGGACCCCCTGAAGTCAATCCTTCGACCCTCGATCCTTGGAGTCCCTGGAAGTCATCCGTCCTCCTTCTTCACCTCTCCTCCACATTATCTACGCTCTCAAAAAGTGATAACTAGTTGTCGGGCAAAGCACCGCCTTGAATAAAAAAGGGAGGATGTCTCGAGCGGGAGCGTTGTTGTTGCTGGGGGTCGGCGCCGATGAGAGAAAGAGTAGAGCGCCTGTCCAAGGTAAAACGGGAGGAAGTCTCAAGCGGGAGCGCGGGTTTTGTTGAGACGGCTGCTTTCGGCGGCGAGCAAGAGCACCGGCCCTGAATAAAAAAGGAGGAAATCTCGAACGGGAGCGTTGTTGTTGTTGGGGGGGCCGGTTTTGGCGGCCCCCGAAGCCGCTTGAGAGCGAGCCTCATTTTCAATGAAAATGCAGCCAGCGCCTCGGCGAGAGCGCCAGGGCGCCTGTAAAGGGTCCAACAATAAGAATTGTTTCATATATTTCACATTCAACAACAACAACAACAACAACAACAACAATAACGACAACAACAATCAGTTTATGACTGTTCGCCCTCACCTGCTCGCGTGTCACTCAATACGCATATCCCAAACCCTGGATACCCGCCCTCTTGGTCTTCGATCGTACCCCCGTTCTGGGGGGTATATTCACACCCTGCCACGCGGGGTCACAGATAACGCGGGAATTATGAGGACGAAGGGATCGGACGAAGGGAGGGGAGGGGCAAGAATGAGCGAGGACGGTGATTTGCGCTGCAAGTGGCGATTCAGCTTGCGCCATGGCTTGCGCCAGCCACTCCAACACAGGTTAACAATAAGTTTCGCCATGGGTCGCGCCATAAACAGCGCCACGTACCACCCCCTTGAAAAAACATTTCGTGGATACCCCTACGGGGGGACGTACAGCTGCGAACTGGTGTCAGAAACAACTTTCGTGGAACCCTGACAAGAAGCGGGATGTTGGGAGAGTGGGGCGGAAGGAAAATGAGAACTGCAGAGGTGTCGAAAGGAACGCGAAATCCCGATATGAAAACGCGATTCCAAATAAATTGTAAGGAAGTATCAAGCGAGAGCCACGGTCCGGTGGTAAATTGCAAGGAAGTCCCAAGCGAGAGCTCGATTCTTCAATAAATTGTGAGGAAGTATCAGGCGGGAGCCGTTGTTGTTGTTGTATACCGAGGGCCAACGACACAGTTTGACCCGCAAAACTTCCCCTGATAAAAACCGGGGTGCGAGCCCCGGGAAGGGCACTTCAATCGAACAAAATAATGTGTTGAACCCACTCCTACCTGCAACGTGTACTTCGTGCAACCCCTAAGGCATGGGAACAGAGGACGGATGGAAGGAAGGGACAAAGGGGAGGGAGGAGGATGGAGCACGAGAGAGGACGGCAGGAGGCGGGCCATGAGCAGGAACGCGTGGCAGAACCAGGCTGGCAGATCGGGCGGGTAGACCCTATTGGCCGGGTCGGGAAGGCGGGCCTAGACGGCCAGGTCGAAAAGGCGGGTTGCTGAAGCGTGCGTCCAGCGTGAATCGCGAGGACGTTTCGAGCGATAGCGTGAGCAACAAATAAATCGTGAGAAAGGCTAGGGCGAGAGCGTGATTCTTGGGTGTCGAGGGCGCGGCGTCTGAAAAGAATTGTGAGGAGGTCCCACGCGAGATCGCGATTCATGCATACATTGTGAGGAAGTCGCGCGCGAGAGCGCGATTTTGGAATACATTGTGAGGGTGTATCAGGCGGGGGCCGTTCTTGTTGTGGTGCGGGGCCCAGCATCCTAATATAGCGGCACCAAGCTTTCCCTGACAAAAGAACAGGGTGCGAGCCCCGAGGTGGGCACTTCAATTAAGAAACTACAAATGTTACCAGAGGGGGGTCAACAACAGCTCTTGAAACAAGAACGCAACGGCAACAGCAACAACAACAACAACTCAACAACTTAAGACTGTTCGCTCCTGTCTGTTCGCGTGCCATTCAACGCGTATATCCCGAACCCTCGATACCCGTCCTCTTCGTTCTCGACCGTACCCCTTTGGGGGTATATTTGTCTGACCTGCAACGTGTATTTCGCGCAGCCCTTGAGGCAGGGGAAGAGAGGACGGATGGAAGGAAGGACAAGTGGGAGGGAGGCGGATGGAGCACGGGCTAGGTGCAGAAAACACGTGGCAGAACCAGACGGACAGATCGGGCGGGTAGACCCTAGAAGGCGGGTCGGGAAGGAGGGCCCAGGCGGCAAGGTCGAGCAGGCGGGTTGCTCAAGCGGGCGTCCTGCATGAATCGCGAGGTCTCGAGCGAGAGCTCGATTCGTGAGGAAATCCATAGCGAGAGCGTGACCCTTGAGTGTCAAGGGCGCGGCGTCTGAATACATTAAAAAAGGAAGTCCCACGCGAGAGCGCGATTCCTGTATAAAGTCTGAGAAAGTCCAGCGCGAGAGCACGATTTTGGAACACGATGAAGTGTGAGGATATGTCAGACAGGAGCCGCTGTTATTGTAAGTCGGGGGCCAAGGGCTAAGTTTGGTGACCCCACGCTGTCCTCTAAAAAAACAAGGGGCGAGGCCCCGAAGGAGCACTTCAGTTGAAAAAAACAAGGGGCGAGGCCCCGAGAGGGGATCAACAATAATTGTTACTTCGGAAAAATAATTCAGGAACGCCCACAACTACAACAACGACGACGACGACAACAACAGCAACAATAACAACAATAATCGCAACAAGCATCTTCTGTGCGCTCCTTTCTGCTCACGTGCCAATCAAAACGTATAAACAAACCCTCGGTACCCGCCTTCGTCGTCTTCGATCGTACCGCGCGAGATCGCCATTTGGGAATACATTGTGAGGAAGTATCAGGCGGGAGCCATTGTTGTTGCAAAGCGGGACTCAACAACACAGTTTGAGCCCCATGACTTTCCCTGATAAAAAAGGGTGTGAGCCCCGGGGGAAGCACTTCAGTTGACAAACATGCAGGGGTCACCGGAAAGTGGGGATTCACATCAACTATTCGTCAGCAACGAAAAGTCAAACACAACAACAGGTAATAATAACAGCAGCAGCAACAACAACAACAGCAACAGCAACAGCAACAACAACAACAACCACACCAGCAACAGTCACAACAACACAAACCCAAACACAACTATAGCAACGATAGCAATAACAGCAGCAACAACAATAGCATAAACAACAACATCCACGACAATAATAGCATCAACCACAACACCATCAACATCAGCAACAACAACAGAAACAGAAACAGAAACAGAAACAACAACAACAACAACAACAACAACAACAACAACAACCACAACCACAACAACAACAACAACAACAACAACAACAACAACAACAAAAACAACAACGACGACGACGACGACGACGGCAGCCCAAAGCAAAACAGAACACAGCCGCACAAAACGGAACCGCACCGAAAACGGCGCCGACGAGAAACCCAACACTCAAGACAACAACTGACTCAAAAACGGGAAACAGGGTCGAGTTCGAGTCGCTATACCAAAAATCACCCAGCAGAAACAACGTGACGCCCCCTGCTGTCTGCGGCATCCGAGCCCACGGCCATGTGCACCACGCGGGCCGTGAGCCTGCGGCTCCAATCCTGGGCCTGGGCAGTGGCGGGGTCCTCCTTGGTGGCGCGCCGGGGCGACAGCAGGGGGTACGTCTCCACCGACGACTCCCGCGTCAGGCTGAGGTCGTGCTCGGAGGCGGCGACGACCGAGGCCTCGTCCTCCGAGAACTCCTCGGCCACCGCCTGGGGCTTGAACTCGCGCGGCAGGAACACGCTGGTGCAGCGCAGGAGTCCCGGCGACAGTGCCAGGTGCACAAGGGCGGACTTGACTACTACGTCTGCACCAGCACTGGAGATAGCAGCAGACAGGGACACTGCTGCATCTTCGGGAGGTTCCAGTTCTTCGGACGCGCCGGTGCACAGGCAAGAACATAAGAACACCTGGCGCTTCGAATCCCCAAGCACGTGGACATCGCCTAAGAGGCCTCGGACCGTCATGTCGAAGCTCGCCTCTTTCTCGGCCCCGCTGCCACTGCTGACGGTGACCAAATCGAGGCCCTCTACTCGCAGCTGGGCATGCGGCAAGACGTCGACCCCGGTCGGCTTCGCGCTGTTCCAGAGCTTGACTGCGACTTTGCTCGTCGCCACCCGGAGGTTCGGCAGCCTGGGCACCCTGATTGGGCTCGAGGTCTGGAGCTTCTCGGCGTCCCAAGGGGCCTGGAGTCCATCTTTTATTATTCGCGATCACGCCGTGACCGGGCCCACCCCCCCCTCCTCCCCGCCGCGCACGTCACGATTCGCGCCGGCGACGCCTGGGAATTCGCCATCCCTACGGCAGGTTCGTGCCGTGTCGACCCCGGCGTTGGTTCCCGACACCGCGCTGGATCGTTCAACCTTGAACGATCGGCCGTCTCCGCAACGTCCGATCGTTCAACATCGACCGATTCTGGGCCGCCGGCGGCGTTCAACCTTGAACGCCCGCGCTGGGGTCGCCGCCGGTCGACACGACGCGAACCTACCGTAAGCATTGCCAGACGGCGCTGGCGCGAATCGTGACGTGATCGGCCTCTTCCCACCCTCCCTTGGGAAACCAAAGGTACTGATACCGTAACTCCCAGAACACTCCTTGGGTGCGTTTTGACCAAAATTTCGAACCGAATCGAGTGGTGGCGACGAGGGCCTCCGGGGAGGCCTCAGAAGGCGAAAAAGAAACAAGGGTGGCGGTATCTGTATCTTTTCCTCCTCTGACTCCCCCCACCCCCCCGGTCACGCCCATGATCGCCAGGGGAAAGACAAAGAAAACGCTCTCCTTGGGTGAGGCCGGGCCACCCGCCGGGTAGTAGGCGGGCAAGTAGCCCCGCAGCACGTGCAGGAAGAAAGGGGTGACATTGACGTCCATCTGCGGCACGGCCACCAACAGGGAGGCCTCCTGGGCGCCGCCCGCAATGCCAGCCTGGCCCTCGCTTGAGCGCTGCCCCCTGGCCACATCCCGGCCCAGCTCGACCGCCCTCACGGCGGAACGAAAACTGGCAGAAACATGACTTCGCAGAAATTCCGCGCGGCCTCCTTGGATCGGCGCTGAACACCCCTCCCTGGCACGCGGAGCGCGCCGCGGCGCCTGAGGCGCCGCCAGGGGGGACCGGCGCCGATCCGAGGAATCCGAGCGGACCTCCGGGAAATCACGCTCAACTGTGCAATTTCTGATGCTCCTCGGCCTCAGGAAAACGATGGGGTGCCCGTACCCCAGGCCCACGCCCTTGCACGTGAGCCGCAGGGTCTTCAGGCGCCCCGCCTTCTGCGGTAACTCATGGGAGCCTCCCAGGCCATCTTGTTGGCTCTTGCGAATCGACGCTGATCGACGCTAAATCGACGCTAAATCGACGCCAGTCAACGCTCAATCGACGCTAATCGACGCTAGTCGACGTCAATTCGGCGCTGCCTCATCAACTACCAGACGCTATTCGACACTAGTGCACACTGAAAACTTACGAAGGTATACAATAAGGCTCCCATGATTTGCTACGGTGGGGGCATTGGATAAGGAACACCAACTGATGTTTGGCCACAGGCATCACCGTCGCCCTCGTCAGATGAGGAATCCTCCCGGGTCTGCTGTCTCCTGTGGACCGTCCTTCACGAACGCCCCCACCGTACGGTAAGGTGATCGGTTCGGTAATAATACCGAACCCGCCTGTGCGCCACTTGGGTCCCGGCCGAGGTCCAGCCCCGCGGCTCGCAGGTGCAGGTCCGGCAGGAAGGCCTGGCCTCCGCCCCGGGGCCGCAGCCAGAGGTCCAGCGAGGGGACGTCGACCGTGTAGACCGCTCCCCTCTGCGCCGCGCTCGGCTCCTGGAAGAGGAAAAACCAAACGTTCTCATGTCGTGATCTGTCGGGACTGGAAGATTTCGACTGTTTTGGGCCTCTGGGGGCCTTGATCGGGCCCCGGAACTATTGAAGGGGCCCTGGGACACACAAATGAATACACACAAATAAAAGATGTCCCCGATATTGTCTCATATTTTCTGGGTTTTTGTCTTCCCCCCCACTTCCCATATTTTCCCATAATTTCCGGGGGATCGACGATTAATTGTGTCTGTGTGTTTTTTACCCTCCTGAACTATCCAAAAAGCGACTCGGGATGAAAAACCGGCCCTGGGGAAAGGGTCAGGACCGCCGCGAACGGCGCATTGGAAAAAATCTGGACCTTCCATGTCTGGGAAGGCAGCATGAACATAAACTTCCAGAGGCCCGCGTAGATTTCCAGGATCGGCGCGAGACACCCCTCCCCGGCTCGCAGAGCGCGCCAAGGGCGGCGCAGGAGGCGCCGCCAGGGGGCCCCAACGCCGACCCGAGAAATCCGCGCAGACCTATCGAGAAATCCGAGAGATCCGATCCGAGAAATCCGAGATCCGAAGGCTGGTGTCTGTGCAGCTTATTTCGTCCTGTCGTTCCATGAGGCGGGCGAGGCTGGCAGGGACCGCCTCTCCAGGATACCAGGTGACAAAGCCCTCGGAGGGCTCGAAGGCGCTCCGGATGCCGGGCAGGGTCTGCAACACAGCCCAGAGGGTTGGCAGCTTCAGAGAAAGCTGACCACTAATTTTCAACTCCTTATCTCTATCGCCGAAGTATTCGTTGCCCACGCACACGCCTTTCCACTCCAGGAGACTCCGCCGGGAAAGAAGGCTTTCATGGTCGTCGTCTGCCCCGCCGCCTGCCGCGCCACTCGCGGAATGCTGGCTGCGACGGCCTCGCTTCGTCGGCGGCAGCTCCAGTACCAACTGTTCGCCTTCGACCAGGTACAGCTTCGAAGCGAGGTTGCGAGCACCAAGAAACTGAAAACCCGAGAAGGCCAGCATCACGGGCATCAGAAGGGGCGACCTCTCGGGGAACAGGTCGTCCTCCGCCAGAGGGGAGAGCCGCAGGCGCAGGTCGGGGACGCAGAGGAAGCAGCAGCTGCACAAGCACAAGCCTTCGACGGCCCGCGCGGACCTCCTGGATGTGCGCTGGACCCCCCTGGCGGCGCCTCTGGCGCCGCCCCTGGCGCGCTCCGCGGGCCACGGGGCGGGGGGGGTCCAGCGCCGCTCCAGGAAGCCCGCGCGGACCGTCCAAAGCTTATGTTCTCGTGCCGCTCGCTCTTCCCCGAGGACGCGCACGCAGTACACGGTGTCCACGGCGAACTCCGCCAGGCCCGCCCCGCCGGGCACCGCCGCCCCCGCGGGCGGCCCGCCCGCCTCGGAGCGGGCGCGGGCCGGCGGCGCCGGCAGGCCTGCGGCAGCAGGCCCGCTCGAGAGGCCCTGCAGGAGGGGACAGACAGGCACCGATACCCTCGCTGCCCAGACCCCCCATTCGAGCCATGGAAAAATCACGACGGGAGGCTTTCCGCGATCTGCGGCCTCGGGGGGCCCCTACCAGGCCCCGGGGCCGTCAAAAGACGACTCGGGATGAAAACGCCGGTCCCGGGGAGTGGGTCCAGGCCTCCTGGGGTCGACGTCGTGAAAAAATCATGACGTCGGGGGTCTGGGTCCCAGGGCCTCTCCGAGGGTGCGTCCTGACCAGACCTTCGAGGAGACGCCAGCGGCGGCGACGAGGGCCTCCCAGGAGGCCCCACACAGGCGAAAACGAGGGAAGGGCAGCGGTATCGGTGCCGTTTCCCTCCGCTGACCTGCCGCACGGCCCGGAGGGAGATCCGCGGCGACATCTCGACGTGCAAGGCCGCCCCGCCGCCCCCGGCCCGAGCCCCGCCGCTGGGGGCCGCGGCCCGGGCGCGGGCGTCCTGGCCGGCGCCGGCGAGCTTCCGCAGGCGGGCGGTGAAGGCCGTGCCGAAGCGCTGCTCCAGCTCGGCCAGCCTGGCACTGCGGGCAAACAACGTGACGGCCTGTCGCTGCCGCCACAGGTCCATGTCCGCCACCGCGCCTGCAGCGGTCGGCGTGCGTCGGGCCAGGTCGCCTCCTGCAGAGCAGCAGTGGCGGCACCCAGAGACGCACGGAGCCCAAGATGCGCTCACGCTTGTGGCGAAGTTCCTGCGCTTGTGGCCTTCTGGCCAACGAACCCGGCGCGACCCCGATTAGGAGAAAGTTAAAGCGTCCTATTAAGTCCCGCAGGGACGCAATGCTTGGCACTGCTTGACATGAATGCTTGGGATTGCTTGCAACGGGCACAATAAGAATACGAGGCACTGGGGGCGGGGAACCCGAGGAACCCAAATAACCCGAGGAACCCAGGGAACTCGGGGAACCCGAGGACCCCGGAGAAACCGGGGAACCCGAGGAACCTGGGGAACCCGAGGAACCCTCGAGGACCCCGGGGAACAAGGGCAACTCGAGGAACCTCTAGGCAACGGGCAACGTAACAACAGGAGGCACCGGGGGCGGGGAACCCTACGAGCCCAGAGAACCCGAGGAACCCGAAGAACCTCCGGGCAACTGGCAAAGTACCATCAGGAGGCACTGGGGGCGGGAATCCGAGGAACCCGAGGAGCCCAGGGAATCTCCAACGTAAGACTAGGAGGCACCGAAGGCGAGGAACCAGGGGAACCCGAGGAACCCGGGGAACCTCCGAGCAGCGGGCAACAGAAGAATAGGAGGCACCAATCTTCAACCAAGTGAGAACCCCTTAGGCAAGCCTGACTGGGGAAAATCAGCGCTTGGGGCAGGGGGGGCCCGCGAACACCCCCCCCGTCCCCCACCTCCAACAAGGCGCCCCCCCCCCCCCGCTGACCGATCGCGGTGGCGGAATCGCACGGCAGCGCAACCGAATACTCCAGGCCCTCCGCCTGCGTCGGGGCCCCGCACACGCACGCCGACGACTCCCCCAGCGCCACCGACCACACGGCGTAGAGGGAGTCGTAGTTCCCGAAGAGGCCCATCAGCAGGCTGAACTGCCAGCCGTCCAGCTGCAGGATCGGTGGGCCGGTGGCCTTCTGGTGGGCCTGCTTTCCACCACCACCACCAGGAGTTCGATAGGGGGGAAGGAGGAGAACGAGGAGGAGGAGGAGGAGGAGGAGGAGGAGGAGGAGGAGGACCCCCACCCCTCCAACTTATGGTGGTGGTGGTGGAAAACGGGCCCATCACCTTCGATGCCTCGGCAGAGTCCACGCTCAGGTGGAGCGTGACGCTCTTTCGGACGCCGCCCCTGCACTCTGGCAGGGCCTCCAGCGCAGCAGGCTCCCAGCTGCGGTAGCAGAACCAGGCGGCCAACACCGGGCTGATGGCCTCGCGCGCGGGCCACGCAGCCGGATCTGGCCAGTCCTGCTGCAGCTCCCGCCTGGCCATGAAGAGGCGAGCGTCGCCCACCGCGATGTCCTTTGCCATCTGCAGGAGCCTCTCGCGCCCAGGGCCGCTGAAGGGCACCCGCGGGGGGACGGCATCCCCTCTGCCGACGGCGCGTGCAGAGGCCATCTCCGTGCTGTCGGGGTCCGCCAGCGTCAGCGAGCTGCAAGAGCAGGCGATGAGGAAGGGCCCGCTGGCCATGGGGCCGACCTCGTCGTGCAGCACCGCCACCAGATTGTCGACGATGACCCTCAATTTACACTTTGCCCAAACCTTCCACTCGTTCTGAGATCCATCCTCATGCAGTGTCCTGCCCTTTTCCTTCGACAGTGAAGCTAAATTCTTCTCCATCGCAATCAACCACTCTTCTGGTCTCATCTTTCGAAGCAGTACACTGACACCGTGAATCCGAACCACAACTCCAGCCTCGCTGCTGACCTCAATATCTACAGACCGAACCTTGCCACCCTGCACAGTGAACGGCAATGAAGGGCCGACCAAAAAATCCCATAGCGCTTGCGTAAGGGAGACGTCCCGGAGATGTACTTTGGCACCACGGCTGCTCAGTGTCTCGACATCGTAGCCTGCATTGTTGAGGTCGATGCCGATGTGGTCGTAGAGCCATCCCCTGAGACCGCGCAGAACGAGGCCCACAAGCTGGCGGCCCGCCATGGCTTCGCGATGGCGGACGCTGGGCAGAAAGAGGCTCCCATCTAAAAACGTTCATGCATGACGTGACAACCCTCCGCCCACAAGCATAGCGCCCGTACAACGCGAGCTTGAGCCACGATGTCACGGGCCGAACTGTTTACGCCTCCCGAGCGGCACCGCGCTGCAAGGCGCAGCCGGCGCGAGGTCAGAGGTGCTACGCCGAGCTGTTCTTCTCGCCAGGCGTCGGCCGCACGACCCACGAACGCCCCAGAATCAAAACCAGTCCCTCCTCGGAGAGCCCCAAACGGTGCGGTGACCACACCGCGTGGTGAGTCAGAGGGGATTCTGGGCCACCGTATGGTTTTAGGACTTGGGTCGTTCTCCGAGGACGTCTCGGGCGACCGGAGCCTCCAGGGTCCCAAAACCGTGCGGTGACGGACCGCGCGGCGAGGTCGCTTGGGATTCCGAGGTCACCACGCGGTCCGTCACCACACGGATTTGGGACCCTCCGGCCAGAAGCGGGTCAGAACGGGCCTTTGGGGTCCAAAGACTCCTCTCGGGCTCCATCCCGACAGGTCGCTGAGTCCAGTTCATCCGCGCCTACCCGGGGTCAAGAACAGCGCGGCCATAATAGCGTATGAAGGCGGAGTGTGTCGGCCCCATTTGTGGGGGTGGCCAGGCTGCGCGGGAGAGGTCGTCTCAGCGATCAGCAGCCTAGATTTTAGCAGGGTGGCGACTTGGCAGTAGACCTAGCGATTAACAAAACGTGTTTCTGTTAGACTCTGGCTCCAAACCTCTCGACTTGACAAACTTCAGAACTCAGTTGCTCAACGTGTTGTGAACGCGCGCAATGGGGAGCTCGTGCGATCGTCCTGGGTTGGGGAGCGAGGCTTTCAGCGTCCCCTGACTGGGGTTCTCTGTCTTCTGATGCCAGAAGACGCACAAGCATAGATGACTGCCTTGCCTTCACAGAATCTGCATGCATACTTATCTGAAGTTTCGCCTCGGGGTCTTCACTTGCTCTGTGCAGAAAGGCCTCCTTGGGTGATTTCTGGCTCTGCCCGTCGAGCATACCTCCCCCACAGTTGCCTGGGGATGCCATCCCCTGTGTTTCGAAGACCTTCCCCTCGGCAAGGCAACGCAGCGCAATGAAATGTACATTCAGATGCGGATGCAACGCAGTGCAGTTGAGGACATCGCAACCCTGCGCAATGAACAGCCAAATCATGCGATTGAGAGGAGTCGTTTAGGGCTCTCGCTTTGGCACCGCGCACCTTCGCCTTAGAAGCTTGCAACAGCTTTGAGGATGGAGGGGCGTCGCTTTCAAAACGGGGCTCGCCCTGCAGCGCCGCGCACATTCGTACTAAAAGCTTGCAACAGCTCGAAAGATGGAGGGGGGGGGCACTTTCAAAATGGCGCTCTCCCATGAGCACCGCACAAGGTCAAGTTTGCCGCCGTGCCAAAGATGGAGCGCTGGTCGTTCTCAAAATGGAGCTCTCGCCGTAGCTCCGCGCACATTCGTCTCAAAAGCTTGC